ACTTAATGTTTTTTTACTGTTGGATGTTAACGCATAGTGAAGATTTATAATCAGATTTATAGTGGAGATTATAATCAAATTTGTCGCCATTGTGCGTTAACATTCAACAGTTAATGATGAAGATCTATAAAATGATGACTTTTGAGTTTCAGGAGGTAAAGTGAGATCAAAATCGAGTTCTAGATGACAAAATAGGATAAAAATCGAGTTCTTGAGGGTGTAGATAAAAATAAGCCTATGATATTACATTATTACCCATCCACATCAACAACTGTTACAGCTATTTAACAGAAGAACCATAAACATAGTAAAGTGGAACGAATTTTAAATTTCAGTGAATAAAGTGATGACTTTTAAGTTACATGAGGCAAAATGAGATCAAAATCGAGTTTCAAATAGCATAACTAAAAATAAGCCAAATTAAAAACCGCGAAGTAATTAATAGAAGTAGAGGTAGCTAATAGGGTTATGAAATGTTTACGATGGGCGTGGAGTTAGGCATGTGGAAGTGGACTATGGTATATTGCATGGCACTAGGGTTTTGAACACATAAACATATAATGAATAGTATTATTTATACACTTATTTTTACTTTTTACACATTTTTGTTAAGTTTTTATAATTGATATTCTTCAATTCATTTGATCTGACATCTGAAAATTGAGAAAAATATGTGAAAAGTAAAATGGGTATGTGCATAGCAGCATCCTATGTAATATAGCTGGATTGTCCATATATTTTTTATCAAATAGAAAATTGAATATTTTTTGGGAGAGAATTTTTGAGAGAAGTGTGTTCGCGCGCTTGTATATTTCTATATTCAATTCTGTGACGACAAGTTAAATATTGGACCCGTGGTTCTGCGTCCTGCATGACCATGCAGTATTTGGGCTCTTTTATTTATATAAATTTTTTGTTATTAGATTAGTAAACTGCTTATATAAAGTTGAATTAATTTAATTTGAGATGACAAAAGTACTAGTAACTTTATTTTTTGTCAAAAAACCGAAACCAACAAATTTTAGTTAAATCTCGGCAGTCAATTAATGAAGTAATTCATTAAATTTCGAGCGAGATAATTTGGTTGGAACATAAAGACCAATGTATGCAACTACGCCTATTATTACACATGAAATTTTCTAATGTCTTTTTGGTATTTTCCTTGAGCATGACTACTATATGGAGGCATTAATGGTCAGAGAGGGTGTTTTTATTTTTTGTTTTTTTTGGTAAACGTCAGAGAGGGTTTTACTTTAGAGCTTTCTAGGGGTTTTCAGAATGTTATTGTAGACAGCGAAGCGAATCGCTCCAAATCACCCGAGCGCTGAGCTTCTTCTGTTGATTTTGTCCCCCCTTGAACTTCTTGGGAAGACTTAAAAGCTCTTTCTTCGGGGATCATTGGGGTTCTATGAAGTCACCCACCGACTGCTTGGTTCAATCTTTCTTCTAGCTAGCAGCCCCTGCTTATGGTTTGAGAACCACCAGATTTTATTATAAATGTTCTGTTTGAAGACTGTAACCCTGAGTAGAGACTTGCCTCCTCTTCTGTACCTTTCTTCTATCAATGAAATCCATCGCTTTGCTTAAAAACAAAAAAAAACTACCATATGGAGGCTTAACAAATGATTCAACAAGACAAAGGCAGGATAAGTAGCCAAGAGAAACTAGTCAAAGTAGTTTAATAAATAAGAGATAAAAAATGATTAGGACTTATAACACATACGAAGAACGTAGGACTGCCCAAACTGACACACTCCGACCGGAGTCGAGAAGTGATGGCCGTCATATGAGGGAAACGTAGCCAAATACGCAACAGAAATGATAATAATAAGAAAATACGAATAAATAAAAACCAAAACTAAACTTATTTAATTAGAGATAATATGTAAGTGTGTGAAAGTGATCAAGTATAAGACACACATATCAGAGCACAGGTAAAACAAAAGTCCAGTCAAACTAACTACGTACTAATTATACAAACAGAGAGAAGATCCCTACTTTTATTTATGGAAATGTCATAACGGCCGTGTAGTCCTCGTGAGCCACCAAAGATGAACAACTACCTAGAACCAGAAGAGGCACAAAACAGAAGGGTAAGTGGGCAAAAACAAAGCGTTTGAAAATGTATTTATCTTTATGAACAAAATAACTCCTCTCCGTAAAACCCGTATAGTTTTCAAAAAATACTATTACATAGATATGAAAATCAATAAACAAGAGCAGCAAAAATTGAAACATGCTATGTCATGATATCTTAACAATAATAATTGTAAGTCAGACGTGAAACCAATATAAAATATGGCATATATAAAAGATCTTACGTACTGATCGGCACAAGTATACAAAAATCTTATTGATCATTGTCTAACCATAAATGATCTTTTATATTTTAATAAATACTGCATGAAAATATATATTAATATCTAGATTGTGAATATTTCACATCTCACAGTGTCGCTCATCATTTATCGAGGTGATGGTGACAATGGACTCATGCACCTCTACACAGCTCTAGATGGTTATCTTGTGGTTGGGATCTATCCAAATAAAAGTTGAAGCTTCAAAGGTTCCTGTCATAAGATTAAGAATAAATTCAGGCATTTGTAATTTTAATTTCAGTCAATGCTATTTGCATATTTTTTTTTATCTTTCTTACATTCTTGTTAGTTTTTATTCTTTCTTTCAATTTATTTAATTCGATAGAAAAAAATTAAGAGGATATGTAAAAAGTAAAAATAGGTATGTGGATAACACTTCTCTTAATTTATTTTGAATTTTTCTCTTAAAAGCAAGTTATATTCAAGCACGTCACTTTTTCTGTAGCTAAAGTATATATACTATAATATTTTCCAAAAAAAAAAACGTATATATACTATAATTGACTTTGCAAAGGTTGATTTGTCCAGGACAACTCTCATGATGTTTCTATTTCAACCACTCGAACTAATTGATACTGTATTTGATTATCTGTTTCTCTCAATTGTGCTTTGTTCGTCTTGTGAAACACACACATATAACAGATGATAAATAATTTATGCATTTTTTTTTTCATTTATTGGCTCTTATTTATTTATTTATTTTCAATTTTTTCATTTATTCAAATCAAAGATAAAATAACACAAAAAGTTGTAAGAGAGAAAAATCAGCTTGTGAAATTACTTTTTCCATAACATATATCATTCATTAATCAAACCAAGATGTGAGACATAACAACTAGAGTTATCATGCATGCAAGAGTCATGATCATGACCAAGGATTTCATGACCACAGCCATATGGGTTGGCACAACCATGATCTCCAAGGATTATGGCAAATCCATAGTGCACATGGGGGCAAATCAAATAAATTTTGCATGCATATATGCTGTTAGGATATATCAGTACTACAAAGAAATAGTACAGAAAGATTTCTGACTCATTCAACGCTACTCATTCAACAACTAGAGTATATTCTTCGTTCATCAAAATTTGTGCACTGGGTTGGTTAAGATATGCTGATCACTATCACTGGCTATTACTATATAGCAAGGGATATGCAGGGTTTAGCCGCACGTTACAAATATTGAAGAGTACTACTGGTTGTACTTTTTAGAAGATTTTATCTCGTGAGAAACGGTTGCAAGTAGACAGTAGATGAGTGATAGTGAGACTGCCATTACTTAGAGATATGTACTATAGGAGTAAATTTGTGTACTTAATATACTTGTCATGGGATGCATTATTTCATTTACGATATAGATGGGTGATTGAAAATATTTATCAGGTGATGTATCATTTTATTTGTTATGATATGGATGGGTGATAGAGTTATATATTACTTTTTTAAGATAAATGAACTTATAATTTTAGTAGAATAATAACATCGTATAACGGTTTTTCTTTTCTTTTTTGCCACTAAGAGAAATTTTGTAACGATTTTTCTTTTCTTTTTTGCCATTAAGAGAAATTTTATAATGGTTTTTCTTTTCTTTTGTTTTTTGACATCTTTTAAAGTTTTGTTCTCCAACAAATATATCAAATTAAATTATTATTTTATTATTTTATAAAATAAATTATTAAACTAATTAAAATTTAATAAAGGACATTTAAAGTTTAATCAGTAATATGTTCACATTCCTTGATTGAGAAGAAGAAAAAAGTAGGATAATTACATCGGTCAACTCAACATTAATTATAATAAATGATTAAACTAATTAAAATTTAATAAAATACATTTGATAATTAATAAAAAAACATTTGAAGATGTTGTCAAATTTGACAGCAACCACTTTTGCTGCCAATTCATATCATCGCCACATAAAATTTGACATTTAGGTTGGAGAATATTAGTGTGGTTTTTTTTATTGTTATATTTTATGTGTATAATTTGACATCTCATTTGGAGATGCTCTAAGGTGTAAAGTGATTAAATTAGTATCAAAGTCGTATTTCACAAGTATTAAATTTAAAATCTCTTATTTACAAAATTTACCAATGAAAAAAAATATTAATTTAATATTATATTGCACATAACAATATCTTAGACACATTAAAAAATCACTCGAAGCATTAGTACCCTTGTGACCGAGTTGCTAAAACTAGGATTATGTGTATCTGCCTTTTTTAATAGGAACTTTAACGAAAAACTTCAGGTACTGTTTACTTTAATAAAAAACCATATTTTTACGTTAAAAAGTCAATCATGGTACTATTCACTTTACCTTTTATTTTGTCATTATCATTAAAACTCAAAATTTTCAAACTCTTTTCATTAGTTTTTTTTTTAATTCTTTTCCAAGAAGAATATTTTTGCTTGCCATCTTATTTATTTTATAAATTTAAATTTTAAGATATATGTAATCAAGACATAAATTTAAAATTTAAAATTTATTTATAGAATAGTGAATATTATCACTAGAGTGTTCTCCTATAAATAGGGACCATTGGTGGAGGTCTGTTGAAGTATCTTCTATGTCTGCAACTCTATTATTTAAACATTATTATAATATTAAATTTAGGGTAAGGAGTGGGGAACTGGGAGAGAGAAAGAGCAGGGAGTGATGATACATTGTTGACAGAAGATAGAGAGCACAGATGGATGACTTGCAATTGACTATGCATCTCACTCCTTTGTGCTCTCTATGCTTCTGTCATCACCTCGTTATATCTAGCTTCCTTGCCTCTCTCCACACCCGTGCACCTCCCATATTAATCTAATTCACTAGTTAATCAGCTGATATATGCTTCCCTTTCAATTGCTTATATATTGTTTAGATTTTGTAATTTCAGTATTAATCTGAACTGATTTTGGGTATATATTCATCAATTTATTGATTTCTCAATTTTGGATCTGACTTGTATATATAGTTGGATTTTCCTTTTTCCTCTTTTGTAGGATCTTATGTTTTACAGGTTTGATTGAAGTAGTAGTACTGGGCAAGCAGATCTATCAGAGCCGCAGGAACACAGGTTCTTATAAACATATTTATAAGTATATACACATATATATGTGTGTGTGTATTTTATGGGGTTTGTTCATGCGTAAGTTTGTTTATTTAGTTTTCAATCGTCAATGTGTAGTTCATGATCGCAACAACAATTTTCACATTATCTTGGTTGAAAATTTTCCAATGGCTAAGCTAGGTCTGAATTCTACATATGAGATCGATCCAGTGATTTGGTGCCAGATATCTCATACCCCTAAAACCGGATATAGCTAGGTTTTCTTTCACCTCTTTTTTTCTCTTGTTCTCTTAATTTCATATATAATTAGTTTGTTTTCTTCAAGAATATAATGCCTGAACAATCTGATGCTATACATATCCCAGCTGCCTAGAGATATTTGAATCAGGCGGTTCTTGTCTATAGAGGGAGAAGGATTTTACTTATTTGCTTTGAGGGAGAGAAGTTTAATTTTGCAGTCTGCATATATTGATTTTGTTGAGAATTCCAGATGTGGACTAACTAAAAGAACCACTGTAATAGCTTAAGCTTGAGCTGTTTGAGAAGGGGCAGAATTAATTGTTGAGGTAATTAATTAAGCTGTAGGATGGCTATTTGTTAGACCAGAAAGAGAGAAATCATTGTTTCTTAGTGCAAATATGTGAAGAGTGAGCAGCTTGTTCTTATTTTCATCTTCCATTTCTGGGAATTGATGTCTTTATAGAGCTTGCTGTAAAAAAGATGGAGATCTGTAAGAAAGTTCGCAGATTCTCTACATATATATTAGGCATAATATGCATTTTGCCATTGTGGTACACAGTCACTGCATTCATTTTGCATATGCTACAGCAGCTTTAGCACATATTTTCTATGAGTTAATGTTGATCCTGTGTTAATTAGGAATATTTTTGCTCATCAATTACCCTATTTATCATTATTGTGTGAGTTTAAATTTTGAGATTTGTGTCTATTTACTACACATATCTCAAAATTTAAACTTACCTAACAGTAATAAATACGGTAGCAAGCATTGCATTACCACCACTTAATGGTGGTGTTAATTCGGTCTTTATTAATTAGTGGCTGATTCAAGTTGAACATATCCATAGAGGTTATGACCCCTCTAATACTTTTCTGTTTTGTTTTTGTGGTTAATATGGTTGAGTTGTAACTTGTAAGGAAGCAAGCTAATGGTTCTTGAGATTTCTAGCATCTACTGTCCATATTCCTCATGAGGCTTTTTACATAAAAAGTCTTAAACGCAAGCAATTGAGGAATGAATTTACCTATTTCTTCTTTTAATATTTACCTACCTCTTGGTGTTATACAAATAATTCTAGCTTGAGTCTCTGGTTATCATGATACTGCATCTGCAAAAGATTTCTAAGACAAGAGACGCTAAGTCTGAGTCAATATTACTTGATCATGATTTATTTCTTATTCAGGTAATTATATTAGTGCCATAGTATCTCACCAAAGAATATATATGTTAACTACTAAGAATTTCAAACGTCCAAACAGCTAGCAACTGTGAAACCATATTTGTTCTTAACATTTCAATGTACATATGCTTCTTGGTACTAGAAACCCTTTCCTCCTTCTAGAACAAAATCCTATGAAGGAGATTGGACACACTGGAGGAGTCAAGATTTTAGTCTAGTCTCAATATGAAATGCTTAATCTTACAAAAATTACTCTGCCAAGTGGTAACCAACCACTATCGTTTTGGGTCTGGTATGGTGTTGTCCTTTGTCCTTGTCATCCTCTTCCTTAAACCTAAACCCCAAGCCTCTCTAACTTTCTTCCACTAATTCTCATGCCTGAACCTCCTCAAAGCTCACAAAAAATGGATTTGTTTGAACCCTATAGGAGCCACCAACTTCAAATCAAACCCAACGAAAGAAAATAAAATAAAATAAATGTCAGATTGAGGCCCTGAGGCTAGGAAAAAACAGTAAAATTATAAGTATTACACTAAACTTTTGCGTGAAAAAAATGGCCAAGTAATCTTAGGACCATCTTTGGTCGTTTCATGGCTCTGCCTCTAGTTGGATGTATCCAAAATCTCCAAGTGAGAGAAGCAGATTTCAATTTATAATTAAGCTAGTGAGTGAGCAAAGGTTTTTATAATAATGATTGTATATATCAGATTCACCTTAACTTAGTCCAATTGTAGTTAGTATTCATAGTGTTTGCAAATCATGCCGGTTAAGTTATTCTCTTTGATTTGATATGAACCAAGAGTCAAAACACGACAGAGGATGAAGCGACTTCTCATGAATTGATCTTTTGCTTCATATAAATTTAGGCATGATGACTTTTATTTAAGAAAGTTGATGACTTGTCGTTGATGTGATATGAATATTAATAAGTAAAAATAAATAATGAGTGACAAATTCATAGTTCTTATCCACTGGAATATAATATGTTACTAAAAGTAAAGTTGTAATTTACAATTCCATTGCACATACCCTTCAATTGTGTGTGTTTGTCATTTATATAGCTATAGCCGTATAGCCAGTCAAAAGACAACCATCTTCCTTCTTACCATGGAAATAGAGAGTACTGAAGTGGAAAAAGATTACTTATGTAGATGGAGTAGCGAATATGTATCGCACAGCTAAAGAGTTTCGAGGCAAGCATGCATTGGTATTGTCTTGTATGCTTTGGAGTATTTTTTACTCTTTTAAGTTTTTAATTGTTGGATTCTTAATTGGAAATGTCATGACCAATAATTTAACATTAAAATGTTACTTAGTGCTTAATATAGGATATCCCGAAACATAATAAAAAGAGTGTTGATTTCTTGAGTTTGTTATGTCTATCTATTGCCCAGTGGGATGATCTTCTTACATGGCTTGACCGATCATGTGGATGTGGTTGGCGAATGACACGCTTTGTTGATCTCCGAAATGAAAGAAGGAAAAAAAGAAGAACACAAGCTTCAATAAGCCTGACCTATTGTCTCTATCCACCTCACTTCTTCAAGTGCATGTTACGATAAAACTGTGCGTCTTCCAACTATGCAATTAGACCTTGACGTGAGAGAGAAAGAAAGGGAAAGAGCGTCCTGTCGATCGATATGCCCCAATTAGTCTCTTGCGCGCGGCTTTACTTTGTCCTTTCTTATAGTTGTACATGTCAAGAGAAATGCTGGGAGCCTCTGTATACTTTATTTTTTTAAGTTTTATTTTATAATATTAGTATATGAATTGACATTAACCGTAAAGTATTAAAAAATTCTTGAAAAACCCCTTTAAAAAATCCCCTTTAACATTTCTTTCCATATCAATGTCACGTTTACATATACATGACCTCTTTTTCATTGGATGATATAAAAGGTTTGGGACTTGGAACTTATCCAAAAACAATCGAATGACCCTCCTTGAAATATTTGATTATGATCACTCTCTACTGAGAAGACAGAAAAATTTGTCTGCAACATGTTGTGTAACAATACATCTTTGTCTTCTCACATGTATAGTCACGTGTCATACAGCATTATCAGGCTATCCAGTATGCCTGTGGGTATGCAACATGTTATATGAAACATTGCCTACGCATATATATATATATATATGTATATGTATATATGCACAAGTGTGTCCAGCAGCTGGTAGTTTCTCTCCCCTCGTGTATCATAAAAAAAAATAATGTTGGAGTTTTACCATAAAATTAATTAGTGGTATAACGAGTAGTTTAACCCTTATAAGTTCTTGCAAGGTTTCTCATCTTATCAATGTGAGATTCATTTTCAACAAGTCTTCGTATGTGTAGTGAATTTTCAAGCCTAACACGTGCAATACAAATTAGGTGATGTAGATCACGTGTGGCGTTTGGCTTCACAAATGAGACAGTCTGCTCTGGTACCATGAAGAAAGTTGAGGTTTCACTATAAAACCAACTGGGCAATATGGGGAGTAGCCAAATTATTTATAAGCACATGTAAGGTCCCTCAATTCTCCAAATGTGGGATTCACTCTCAACAAGCTCACTCACGTGTGACAAATTTTCTAGCCCAACAAGTGGACAACATAAATCAGGTGGCATAGAGCACGAGTGGCTGTTGGACTTCACACACAAACAATATGCTCTGATATCATGAAGAAAGTTAAGGTTTTACTATAAACTAATTGGCAATATGGGGAGTCGTCCAACTACTATAAGCACATGCAAGGTCTCTCATTTTCTTGATGTAGAATTCACTATCAACACTCCCTCACGTGTGGCGAGTTTTCAAGTCTAACACATGGACAACACAAATTGGATGACATAGAGCACGTGCGGCCGTTGGACTTCACACATGGGACAATCTGCTGTAATATCATAAACTAAGTTGAGGTTCCACCATAACCAATTGATAATATGGGGAGTATCCCAACTTCTTGTGAGCCCCTGCAAAGTTCCTCTTTCCATTAATATGGGATTCATTCCACATTCACATCCTCACACGACCTCTCACGTGTGACGAATTTTCAAGTCAAACATGTGGATAACAGGAATTGGGTAACGTGGAGCACGTGTGGCGGTTGGGCTTTACACGCACACGTGGACCAACCTGCTCTAATATCATGAAGGAAGTTGTACTTTCACCATAAAATTAATTTACAATATAAGAAGTAACCTAACCTCTTATAAGTTCTTGCAAAATTCCTCATCCATCAATATGATTCATTCTCAATATATCATATACATAAGTGGGCTAGCTAGTACACATAGGGTTATGCAACATGTTGTATAAAACATTGCTTAGGTGTGTGCCACATGCATGTCGTATGAAAAATTGCCTAGACACATTCATGGATATATCAAGCAACTAATAGCGTCTCTCTCATTAGGTATTATACACATTAATTGTAGAGTTGAATATAATAACTGACGCAGGGAAGCCAAAAAAAAAAAGACTGGAGAACAAGTACGATCGTAGCTCTGAGAATCACTCAACCAGGCAAGAGATTGGGACTCACTCAACCAAAAAATAGAACGAGCAAAGTGTTTACTAGAAGCTTTCAATTACATTCAAAGTCTCACCGACCGTCCTTTTAGCACAAGAATTATAAAGGCTTACAATATTAAAAGACTCCTACTTTCTATGAGACTCTTACAATCTCCAACAATAACTTGACAATTTCTAAAGGACAACTTAATTAAAATTTCTACTCCCAATACACGTGACCTGGCATCAGAGACCTTAATTGTTTGTTGCATCAATCTCCTTTTCTCGAAAAAAAATCATCCACGAGTTTCGATTGACCTTTTTTTTTTCTTCGATCTTTTGGATGTCCAACAAAGATGTTCAACAATACCCAATTTAGCATCAAAAATTTCCAAGTTCCTATAATCCATGCACACATTAATCTTTTCTTCTTGAAAATAATCATCTTGGAATAGTGCTTCCAAATCACTTCTTCAAATGAGCCAAGAGAATTCAAATCGTGTTGAAAAATTCTTCTATCAAAGAGCTCTCCTCTCGTATCTTGAGCATCGAAACTGTCCCAAAATGGATCATGAATGCTATGGATATTAAGAGCTTGTACTCCATTATATAGTTGTCCATGGAACTTTTCAACCACATCTTCATCACCTTCGTATTGATCATAAATCGGGGTGGAATCCCATTCGGCAAAGTTATCGATGACATCACTGCTTTCTGTATGTTCCCCTTTCGTGCCAAACTCCATGTTGGAACGTTTTTCAACCTCAATACATGCACAACAAATCTCACATGAACCATCTGGACAACGATCAAAATTTGGAGGAAGATTGAGATTTAGAACCAGTCCAACCTCATTTACTGGAGGCAGCAACATGCTTTAGTAAATTGAAGATATTGTTTTGTAGAAATAATGGATTGAGGAATCTCTTGAGAATTTAGAAACTAGACTAGAAGGGCTTTCAAATGATATATGGCATCAAGTCGAGAAATGCTTAACCAAATCGAAAACTGACCCGCAAGAGAACTGATTTTGTTATCGCGACAGCACTGATGCTCTGTGGTGTTTGCCGATATCTGCACACACAAAATTCGGTTTGATGCACGGTCTGTTACGTTGGAAATTAGACTCTCAAAGCTTCCCGATGATACGTAATTATTCAGATGAAAGTGACGGGAACTAAGTCAGTTTTGATGACGAACATAGATGATGTGCTCAGCGCTACTACCAGGATTTCAGATAAAATCTGAAAACCCGCTCTAATGCCACTTAATGCAAGGAAGCCAACAAAAAGAGTGGAGAACAAATATGATCGTAGCTTTGGGAATCACTCAACCAGGCAGGAGACTAGGACTCACTCAACCAAAAAATAGAATGAGCAAAGTGTTTGCTAGAAGCTTTCAATTACATTCAAAGTCTCACCGACAATCCTTTTAGCACAAGAATTATAAAGGCTTACAATAATAAAATACTCCTACTTTCTATGAGACTCTTACAATCTCCAACAATAACTTGGCAATTTCTAAAGGACAACTCTTATTTCTACTCCAAACACACTTGACCTGGCATTAAAGACCTTGTCTGCTGCATCAATAACAATGTCACACATGTGTGCACGTCTTCTTTTCACTAGATGTAATTAAAGGGTTGGGAGTTTGGCTTATCCCAAAATAGAACAATAATCCATAGCTGAACAACTTGATCAATAACAATGTCACACATGTGTGCACGTCTTCTTTTCACTAGATGTAATTAAAGGGTTGGGAGTTTGGCTTATCCCAAAATAGAACAATAATCCATAGCTGAACAACTTGCATGCAACATGTTGTACATGTCCCTCTTTTTCCCCCCCTCAAATTACCTACGGAGGCGTGAAAATTTACCTAGGTGTTTGCATACATGTATGCATATAAATCCTCATGTCATGTGTTCTATAGATGCATGTGATTAATCACATTAGGAGTGAGAGAAAATATAGGGGTGTGATATCTACACACCCCATTTTACTTTTCACACACCCTTCTAATTTTCGGCCGTCGGATCGGATGAATTAAAGAAGATCAACGGACAGAAATTAACAATGGGTGTGTGGGAAGTAATTTGAGGTGTATGGATAGCACACCCCAAAATATAATGTATACATACAAATCCTCGTGTCATTTGTTCTAGAATGTATGCAAATTAATCGCATTATGTGAGAAAAGAGAAGGACAATGTTTCATACAACACGTTACATAACCCTATATAGATTAGCTAGCCCACTCGTGATATAATGATAATGTTGTGTGATAAATTATTAGCTTGGGAATCGTGTTGCATTGACGTCTCTATTTTAATCATCAGAGCGTACTCATATATATATGATCTATCAGTTTGGATACAACCTGTAGTCAGTATAGATGCAAAATTGTAACGTTTTGTTCGGTAGGAACTCGGAAGTGGATGCTTTCTTCAAAGGTATTTGTTTCATGCAATTAGCTTTTTCTGGCCAACTTATTGCCTAGCAAAGGTATTTTTCTGGTCCTCTTACCATTCATATTGTCTTTGTCTCGGGGGACTATACGGGTTAGAATGCATGTTGTGGCTACTAGATTGTACTGATCCCTCATGAGAAATTTTTTAGTGTGCTGAGAATATAGTCTGATATACAAAGTCAAAATATAAGTAGTTGGAAGCTTAAAAAAAATTTCAACCACTTGTATTATGATGTTTAGTGTTCCGAGTCTGTTCTAAGCACATTGACAAATTTCTCATCCCTCATGTCAGATATTTGATTCGTTATTATAAATAAGGAATATTTGGCTGCTTAAGATAGATAAGAAGTTCCTCTTCAATTTACTTCGTGGTTGATTCAGAATTTTGTTGTTATGGTCGAAATTGTTTATATTATAAATCACTATGCAAAAAATTAATAAACAATATGATCATTTAGTCAATTAACTATAGCAAATAGGTAGACGGTTGATATTGTTTTTGTTGAATTCGTTTATCTGTTTTTATATTATTTGATGACTAAATGGTCTCATATTTCATTCATTTTTTGCAAAGATGATCATTGCAAAGTGATTTATATTATTAATAGTTTTCCTCATAAGGCCGAATTTTTGTAAATCTGCCACAACGTGAATTGAGGAGGAACTCCAAGTGTCCATTGTGGAGCCAAGTCACTCGCAATTATCATAACCCATATAGACATTTAGGGTTACTACTAACACTATGGGCTTGTTTAGAGGGGCTTTTAACAAGACTAAAAGTGCTTTTAGAGAAAATTTTGAGTTCTAAAAACACTTAAGATGCTTCTTGCAAAAAACATATAACCGATATTTCTTATAGGAAGTACTATGTGTTTTTGCAGAATTTACTTGTGAATTTTTAAGAATTGGTTTTAAATTTTTTTATTCAAATCGGTTTTAATTATTTTAAAAGCACTTATAAACTAACCGTAAAAAATTAAACATATTTACTCACGTGATCACTTCAGGGAACTAATCAATTTGAAGACATAGCTAGATATGTATGTAATAAAAGGAAAACCACTTGCAGGTTTCATCTTTTATGTAATGTTAACGTGGACACGGAGCTAAAACTTCAAATATTATAGGCACAGTCAAGTAGCTAGCCAACTAATCGTAGGGGGTACCTTATCCTCTCAGTACTGTATAGGGTTCCTGCCAATCTCACAGACATCAGATTCCATATATGACAAGATATCACGATGTTATTTCAGATTCCATATAATTTTATCCCGTTTAAGATTAGACCCTCCCTCATTTTGTCGTTAAATGAAAACTTAAAATATAAACGCTTTTGATTATTGAAATGCATTATGAAATAATTGTTGGTATATGAAAGTTAACGACATAATTACATATATATATATATATATATATATATATATATATATACATATTAGAAATTTTAACTTTCTTCATGGATCAAAACATGAGTCAAGTTCAACAGCCACATGTGTTTCACGTTACTCAATTTATGTCGTCTACGTATTTGAATGGAATATAAGCATTATTGCAATATGGTAGGGATGACAAGTGCTCCATCATTCCACAATTATGTCTGCTTGCTGCTGGCTTCAGCTAGCATGAACATTCCAAAATTGTCCAAGTTCAAAGTAAAGCTATCTTTTAAGTTACATCCATGAACCATCCTTTTCTTCTTTTTAACCACAAGGCATGCTTCATAATTCGGCTATGACACTACAAATAATTACATAATTTTATCCGTATATGGACTTATCTAAGTTGACTAAACTAGTATGCTCCTCCATCTACACTCAAATTCGAATCCTACTCCACGCAATTTAGATAACATTTAAGCAAAAGCTACATATACTGCAGTGTAAACAGAGGCTCCCATTGCCGAATTCAGCAACCGGAATTGTGTATCCCTCTGCAGAAGTAGAATCCATAGCAACACTAAACTCACACATATATAGTCTACCAAAATATTCAAAGCCCAACTTCACTAGCAAAAGAATGAGATAGCCCGCCCCATTGAAAACTCCTGGCTCGGCCCTTACTCTTAAGTCCATGCACAAGTCATCACTTGACTCTAAGTCCATGACGGTCCATGGACTTCATTAGCCGAATTTCTCACAAATTTGAGCAAATACCTTAGTCTTGTTTGTGCAAATATATATCTTAATATGACAACGTGCATCGTGCTTGTAAACTTTATTTCGATTAATTTATACAGCGATATGATCTCAAAACTCAAAAGTATGAAATGTTTACATCCCAGAGCCTTTTTTATTATTTTCTAGCCTGTCAGCGAACGATGATTCGCTGAATGAATTACAAGAAGAAAAAAAAATCTTACTTGTTTGAAGCAGTAAGGATGGTTCGAGTAGGAAGCGTGGTTTAGGATTCTCGACCTGGTTGTACCAACCGATGAGTTATTGAACTCATGAAAATGAAATACAACCAGGACTCACTGTATTAGAACCAGAAGATAGCACCTTTTTGCCGAGCGAAAACATAAAGGCGAACCTTCAAGCCAACGCAATGCTCGCAGAGACGGGAGAGGGAAACACTTAGCAACCAGCAACACAGAAACATATTGCAGACTGTCCGGCAACATTAAGAGGCAGAAGCTGAATCGGCAGTAAGTAGGGGGCTGCGAAGGTGAGTAAAGTCCTCACGGCCCGAGTTTTCCCTGAGAATTTGGAACAGCACCTATTTAGATTAAGCATTCTAAGAGTTACTTATGTTTAAGGAAAATCATACAAGTTAACAAGTTTGTTTTCAAATGGCACCTACTAATAGCCTATACGGTGTGAAAAATCATACGATATCTTTTCTTAGGCGCTTTCTTTTCTGCAGAATGTACGATCTGATATGAAAATTATTCAACATTTGAGCATTCGTATGAGGGGAATCAAGACTATTGCTTAAGAACATAACAACAGAACTTGCATAAATATAACACGAACTCCGCACTCAAGTGAATACATTGGTTTCAAGTTTCAACTTTGCTATTCATCAAATTTCTTCGCCTTAGACTACGATTTTCTTAACACCGAACATAACAATACAAGACATGCATGAATTTCTGCCTAAAAACAGAAGCAACGCATATGAACAGACACCCAAACACATGCAGAGTATAGAAACACACACATCATAATCGAAACAAAATAAATAGAATCTGTTATATTCAATATTGACTTAAGAATTCCGAATTATAACAGTTACTATCGAAGAGAACTTACGATGATTGAACTATTGATTCCACATCATTGGTTCTCTCCCCTTCTTCTTTGAGTGAAGAGCCGAGAACAAGTTGTGTTGAACTGGTGGTAGTGTCCAAGAAATAGAGGGCACTTGACATAAGGCAGCAACAGACAAACATGGGAATTGGCCCAAAGATCCAAAGAAACATAGGAATTGAGAGGTAAAACGCTCGCAATCCGAGGGACCAAAAGTAACTCCCTCGATTCAAAGTTACCGAAACATATTTAACGTAATCTGTTTTGTCTGTCCATACTGGCAGGGTAGCCAAGAAGCTGGTATGAGCAAAGTATCTAGTGGCCAGCACATTGCAGATAAATCCAACGAGAAAACACAGCAAAACGCATAAGTATTTGATTGAAGAGAGAGGGAGAGACGAAAGTTTTTGTGTTGAAGTGCTTTCGGAACTCGAACTGGTGCTCACGAATACGCTGATTACCGAAGAAAGAGTGATTGCTGCTGTTGCCAAAAGGGAAGATGCCATTATGTTGTTGCGCAATGTTTGTACCGTCAAAACTCCATTCTTCGAGGGGTCCTGAAATTCATGGACTCAACTTCTTGAGGTTTGGCAATGCAAATCAAAACACCGTTTGGAAATTCTCTCTCTAGAAAGCACTCTTGCTGGTAAGTGCTTATTACTGGAAGCACAAATTTTAATATGGTCCATGTTCTTCTTGGAAAAGCGCACTTCCAAGTTGTTTTCTTACATACTCTTTATGCTAAACATAATTAGAAGCTCCTCTAAAAACACTTGGTCATTCTAAAAGCACTTATACTTTTCTTTTAGCTATTCTAAAAGCGCTTCAAGACAGAAGACATAAATAAAGAAGGGGGAAAGGGAAAGTAGTTTCTAAAGAAACATATGCACTAACCCAGAAGCTCCTTTCTTTTTCTGCCAATAATCTCTAAAAAATGCTTACTCATTCTAAAAGCACTTTTATTTCGCTTTTAGAACCCCTAAACGAGAGAGAGAGAGAGAGAGAGAGAGAGAGAGAGAGGGACTAACAGTCATCATGGAGAAGATCCATTGCGTGCGAACCACAGCATTGAGGCCAATGACAGTTCGTGAGGGATTGTATAGCACTGTGATGAGTAGCCAAACGTGGTATATTCCCAGCACAAACAGTCCCGCCGGCACCAGATAATAGTTCAAGTTTAAGCTATCCAATCCCATATCCCTCCTCAATTTCCAGTCTTGAGAACCGAAAACAAGTTAAGGGCAAAGTACGACAGAACACAAACCAGAACAACCATAGAATTATGTCAACGTTTGGGACTAATAATGTCTCAGATCCCATTGGATCTGATCTTCGATACGATTGATAAATAAAGGACAAATGCCACATGATCGATCAAAACAAACGACAAGTGGTACGTTTTGTTTATTTGAATGTGATTTAAGGTCACGTTACTCCAGTCAGTTGGTTGCCGATTTATTTTATTTGGTTGGTTGAATAAACAAAGAGGTGGTCCCTTTTTATGGTCTAAATTACTTTAATCAATTTCGATGAAGGAGACGGACACATTATCTTTATAAACTGGTGTAACTCAAGTGTAGAACAAACAGCACGTCATTTATGTTTATATGGTTGTTATGTTGAATAAAGTTGAAGTTCCACTCTAAAATCGGATAATAACAGTTGGATGTTTGCCATTTAAATCAGTACATGAGCTAGGTTCAAAATGTTGCTAGACAATTTGGTCTATACTGGTGTGGACGTTAGAGCATTGTGAGAATCTTTCCCTAGTACGAGAGACCGGGAAGGACGCGCATTTGGTGTACCAGTTATCGTCCCCACGATAAACACTGAGTAACGAAAGTAGCCAAACTCTTTATAAGCCCGTGCAAGGTTTTCAAGGTGCGGCAACTCTGCGCATCCTCCGATAACCCAACGTTCACTGCAGCATGCATGACAAATGTTCGACTTACATAAAATAAGACATGAAATCATTGTTCTGCTGAATTTTTTTTAAATAAAACTGGGAGAAAAGAAAACAAAAATACTTCTTCAGGTCAGATTAAATCAAATCCCCCAAATAATTTATTTTACAAACGATCTCATAACCTCCAACAACAACAAAACCTTATCCCACTAATTGGGGTTAGCTGTATGAATCCTATAACGCTACTGCGCTCGGCAACCTCCCATAACCTCCAATAAATCTTAATAGTTAACTACATACCCGATTACACATAATATATAGAGGATCCATAACACCCTGCAAATATTCTAAATTTCTAATAAAACAGTATAAAAACTAAAATTAAGGCAATTTTCGAGAACTTATGACGACGATTATCCAACTGATTCGACATCATCAGTTCTTCGGATGGAATTAGTGTGAAGATGTCTAGTAAAACTGGTGGTTGTGTCCAAGAAATACAGAACAAATAACATAATGCAACAGCACACAAACATGGGGATGGGACCAAATATCCAGAGGAAGAGAGGGAACGAGAGGTAGAATGCTCGCAATCCGAGGGACCAAAAATAGCTTCCGCGATTCAAGTTTCGCGCAACATACTCAAGGTAATCCTTCTGGCCTTTCCATGTGGGCACAGTGGCTAAGAAGCTAACATGTGCATAGTATCTAATAGACTGCACATTCAAGAGAAAGGCAACGAGAAAGCAAAGCAAGATGGAAAAGTACTTGACTGAAGAGAGAAGCGGACTCTTGTTCCCATAAATTAATCTGGATGCTGTGTTGCCGGAGTCTGATGTAGTGCTGACAAATACGCCGATGAGAGAACTGAGAGTGATGGCTGTTGTTGCCAACAGCGTAGACGCCATTATGTTGTTGCGTATCGTTTGAACAGCCAAAACACCATTCTTCAAGGGGTCCTGATCAAATTAGAATTAATGGAGAGGAGTTAACTCTATGATCTGACTAACTTTTATCCATCAAAGACAACATGACTAAATTCTGTAAGACATGAAAGATGCAGGAAATTTCGTATCTCATCTAGCTTCAAATACACCTTCGAGGCTCGTTTGATTTCTTGGATTGGACTGGATAACTCACTATATTCAAATTATTACGTTGCAGAAAACAATGAAGAAAGTGTGTCCACTTGAAGGTAGAAACTAGATTCTCGTCCCATCATGTCTAATCTTTTCTAATCCTGCCTCAAATTTTGGGGAGTGTATTCAATTGGGATTTTGAGGAATTTTAATTCTTTTAATGAATCTAGGGGTATTCAATCAAGATTTTGAGTGATTATCTGAAATTTAAGGTGTATTCAATTAGAATTTTAAGATTGTTTATTAAAATCCTTAGAAATACAGATGTATTCAATTAGGATTTTAAAGAAGTTTATAACATTCTTAGAAATTGATTTTAAAGAATTTGAGAAAGTTGAGGAATTAGAGGGAATTGAAGAGATTTCATAATGTATTTCAAGCATCTACAGATCTCACCTCTTCCCATGAGATTTCAAAGGAATTGAATCAAAATTTTATATGGAATCCCACAAATCAATTAAACTCCATAAAAATCCATGGATTTATAAATCCATTAAAATCTCTAAAATTCTCAATTGAATACAACCCCTTTATGTTTGCTATCCAATTCAACCCAATCTCAGCTACCAAAAGATCCCTAAATATCTGAACTTGAAGGAGAAACTTTCCCTACTGATCGAAAAGTATACGAATCACCAACAATTCTATCAAAATGGTCGAGCCCAGAGATCAGCCTAACTATGGCACATGAATCCTTCAACATACTAATGCTTAAATTGAAGAATCTTAACTAAAGTTGGAATCTTGAAAATCACAAGCATGGAGTATGCCATGAACAACACTATTCCCAAGTTAAAGCAAAAATCTTTACTTGTTTTCGTCCCTTGATTCAAGAGAGGACCGCAACACGAGAGAAAAATGGTGTACGAAAATCACTTTTCGTCTCGATATTAGCTCAAAAAGTAATATCATAATCATGTTAATTCTTAAATCCCAAAAACCCAAAAAGGGATTTCCTTCATTACTTTGTATGGGATGAAATTCTAGAGAGAGAGAAAGAGTTCAAAACCAATTGAATTCTAGAGAGAGAGGTGGGGAAGTGACTCACAGACATGATGGATAAGACCCATTGGTGGCGAGACTGAGCGTTGAGGCCGACGACGGTTCGAATAGGATGGCGGTGGATGGTGATCAGCAGCCATACGTGGTATGCACCCAGCACCAGCAGACCCAGCGGCACTAGCACATAGTCCACCTGCTCCGCTTCCATCCCCGCTCTCTCTCTCTCTAAAAATAATTAATATGAAGTTTAATGGATAAGCGTGGAACAGAGTCAGAGCGTAATAGAGTTTTGACAACAATTGTACGGGTAATATTTATTGGCTTAAATGTTAAAATGGTGTTTTTTAGTTATTGCGTTAATTTAGTTTCCTCATTTTTAATTTAGACAATTTGTTTTGTTTGTGTTTATCTCCATTATCTGATTAGACATTTCATCTAATTTTGGTTAAATTTTTTATAAATTATGATAAAATAATTTATAAAATATCTATTTAATTTAAATATTAAAAAATAAAAAAATTACTTTCTTCCATCTTCCCCGACCTCTTCCCTAATGTTACGTCTTTTCTTTTCTTTGTCACAACTTTAATAATTTTTCAAATTGGAAGTTTTATTTTTTATCCGTGTTATTTCTCATTTATTTGTGTTTTAAATTTTAATTTTATAAAGAGAATAGTTGTTCAAAAAAAATTAAATAAAGAGAAATGGTATTATATGGCTGTCTCAGTTATGATCAGTTTCTCGATTACACAGTTGAATGTGAGGTGGTTCGGGTTAATTTTCTTGGGACTACGATGATGGAACTCGCATGGTGATAGGTGAATTCTAGGTGGATCTAGGGATGGTTCATCGAGTTGTCTGCGTGTGTGGCTAGTGTTGGGGGTTGTGTCAAGAACAAGGCCGATGGCAAGGTAAGTTTGTTTATTTTTTCTCTCTCAATTTGAAATAATATTTCTTTCTGTTCCAATTGAAACATGTCACAGCCCGTCCCGGAATTTTTAATTCCGAGGACGTGAAGTTACGAAAATGTCCCTAAACGGGACTAAAGTACGTAATTTGGACACTTGTTTTTACTTAAGGTTCTTAAACTTTGGTGAATTAGAATATTAATTGGTTTTAGAAACCTAAACCAAGACTCTATGTTAAAAGTTTGAAATTGAGATTGAGTTGGACACGGGGATCCCACATCCCTCAAAACCTTCCCCAATTCCCGTACCTTGTCACTCTCTCTCTCCTCCTTCACGATTTCTCACTCTCTCTGTCTCTCTCTCCTTCGAACTCACTGACCAACTTCAAAAACACCCTAAAACTTCCACCAACGTCAAGTTTGAGACCACCATTGGAATCCTGAGAACTTCACGATCACGTGGGTACTAAATTCAGGCTAAAACAAGCTCACAGTGAGCTTAAGGAAGTCCCAAGGAAGCTCGGAGTGCTTGGTTGGAAGTTTTTGGACGTAAGAATACGGAGATCGACAAGTTCAAAGTTTGGCCGGAGCTTTCGAGGCATTTTCCGGCGAATCCCCGGCGAGTTAGGAGTCGAGTTTCCGGCGACCTCTGAGGCTTTCGAGGCAGTTTCCGGCCAAACCACGGCGAACTAGGTGTTGTGCAAGGCGGCGATCGTCATGACGCCTTGATGTGTGGTGCTAGGGAGTTGTTGGACGAACTCCAGGTGAGTGGGCAGTTTTGTTTTCCGTATATATATATACTTGACGTTTCCCATGCATATGAGTTATGTGGAAAAACGGGAAGTGAAATACCATGCATAGAATTGATATGAAAAGTATATAGAAATGTGAGTTGAAATGCCATGCATGAATTAATATATGATGCATATGTATGAATTAGTGCGGTGGACGCACATGTAAGAATTGATTTATGATGCATATGTATGAAATGGTGCGGTGGACGCACAGGTGAGTATTTATTTCTGTTATGATGATGTTGATGTATATTGAGCTCAAATCCTGCACCATAGTTTAGTGCTTATAGTATTCACCGCATCGCACGCTCGCCTTGGATCCAAGTAGATGCTAGTCGTACAGTCCACGCGGAGTGGGTACGACAGACCAGTCCCGAGAATGTTAGTGAGATTCCGACTGGTGGGTGACCTTAGATTATGTGCACAGATGATTTATGAGAAGCACTAGAGCGTAACTTGTGTGCAGAAGGCCGGACAGGTCACAGAGGTGACTCCGGCAGAGTGAGAGTGATAGATTTTGAGCTCTAGGTTCAACCGTACAGGGCCATTAGTAGAGGGCCTCCGGTTGATTACTTTCTTGCACCTGATATGATTATTGTTGATGCATCCATACTTAACTGTTGAATTAGACATGGCATGGCATATTTGTAAAGAAAAATGTAGTTGAGATAGTAAAAATGAAGTTTTGAGAATATATATGTATATTTATATTTTACATTTCTGGGAAAGTATACAGGTTTTACGGAGAGGGGTTACAACGTTTTGAGAAATGTTTGGATTTGGAAAAGAATTGTTTTACTGACCCACTCAATTTTGGTTTTGCGCCCCTCCAGGTTCAGGAATCACAAAGGTGTGGTGACTACGAGGAATTCGACGGTGTTCTGACAGATTGGACAAAATTAGGACTCACCTTCGGGTGTATCAACTTAAATTGTATCTTAAAGCTTCCGTACTGTGCAAATGGTTACGTCACTCTCACGTGACGGCCAGCATGCCCTCCTTCGGAACGGGGTGTGTCAAAACATGTCTTTTTTTTTTTTTATATAATAGGTTATAATAATTTTATGAATTTTTAAGATGAAACATAGATAAACACGAGAACTAAATTAATCAAAAAACTACAACACATGAACCATTTTAACATTTATGCAAATATATAATTTTCACGTGCTAATTATGAGAAATTTGTGTATGACCGCAGCATACAACCTCCCTCGTATTCTCACATTAAAATTTACCCTACATTGTATCACATTAAATTTGATTATTAATAATTAATTCGAATCAATAAATATATATATTTTTTTCATTTGAACTTCTTAAAATAAAGAAAACGTGAGTAAAATCAGTTGATTCTAAGAGTGCGTCCACTCTTAAGTTCGAATCCCTACTTGTAGAGTTGAACTTGGTGTACGAACAACATAATTAGGATGTCCTTACACAAGTTTTTCTCGCAATTGTGATGCATATAAGTAAGAACTTGAAAGCCTTATACTGTTATTACAAAAAGTCGAGGGAAAAAAATTCACAGTATACATAAGATTTCGGCATTGAACATCCGTTTTATGAGCTTTTACCGGCAGGTTTGGCCAATGAAGTGAAATTCAACCTGCAAATGAAAGGAAAAGAAAACGAGGTTCGAGACACAAACGATACTCGAAAGAAGACTAATGTACCAGTTTTTCGAAGAATTTCTGGCGTGCTGAATCAATCACGTATAATAAGAATGAAATGGTACTAGATTTTGATTTGAATCGATGAATACCTGATGATCGGCTTTCTCTGAGCCACAGGCAGAGAAGGGGTTCCGTTTGAGAGTGGCGCCATAAGTTCAGCAGGCTTCAAAAGTTAAAACATAAAGAATAAATGACTTAAAGCTTCAATGAATAAACACCAAGGCGGATAACGACACAGGATAAAGTAGAAAGATCAGTTTCACCCTTCGATGTTCTAAAATGAAAACCAAACAAAAACCTTAAGAAAATATTTCATATGCAGCGAAATGTAACAGTCCACGAGGGAAGTGGAACGTAAATGAACGATGAGATGAAAACATTGGAAGTTGAAAAATAAGAGCACAAACAAAAGTTGTGTGTTTACCTCAAGTTCCTCTAATCCCCCATTATATAAATCGGTGGAAGGACCAGCTCCGTTGCTATAATTTACTGGTGTTGCAATTGACACACTCTCCTCCAGAGCCTCCAATCGACTGCCTTTCATATTTCCTGAAAAGTCTTTCACTTGAAGTCTGTACTCCAAATCATCTTCAAGCTCATCTACTTCCGGCAAAGCTTGGTGGGAAACATATGGACCAACCATAATCTTCTCTAGTGCCTCTTCTTTAGAACTTGATGTATTCACAGCAGAAGATAGACTATCGACTGGTGGATTGCACCTCGATGATACTTCAGTTTGACCATTCTGACAAGGAATGTCTGCGGGGTTTTCCATCTTCCCTATGCTAAATTTCACGTTATTATTGTGGTTTTTGTTTGCATCGATACTGTCACATTTTGTGGAACGCGAACTGACATTGCTGATAGGAGGGCTAGCCTCACGAACTTCCTCGCTGCAGAGATGTAAAGACTTGGCATGCCTTGAGTCAGTTTCTACATTATCATCCACCCGCTTTCTCTTCTGTCCACTGTCTGATCCATCTAAATCAGTTTTACCTTCCCCACTGCAGAGACGTAAAGACTTGGCATCCCTTGAGTCAGTCTCTAAATTACCATCCACCCGCTTTCTCTTCTGTCCACTATCTGATCCATTTCCTTCGCACGATTTCTCTGCCTGGGCATTGCCAGAAGCCTTCAGTTCTGAACTCCGCCTGCTGTCCCAAGTAAATTTAGATGGGCGCAAACGTCGAACACCACCAGGAAACACAAAATTAGGAATGTTCCTGCGTTTTACATGGTATACACGGATCGCCATTCCAGGCTTCAATAATGAGTAAAGGTTGACAGCATTCTTAAATCCCTCGACAGTTCCTCTTATGTCAAACTGTTTGCCTTCAGTGACTGGAACTCCTTGTTTGCGTTGCAGGCCCATAAAGAAAGAACTATGAAAAGGTCTCGATCTGTCTGAAAAATCACCTGGATGTGGGTGACACTGCAGCATGTCTGTGTACCTCTCAATCTGGAGATTTTTCAAACACAAGCAGATGAATAAGGATCAGAAAGAGAGAGAGAAGGGGAGGAGGGGGGGAATAAGTAAAAGGTATAGTTTCACCTTCAGGGTTAGTTGACGGAGACGAGACTCAACCCAACCTTTCCATTGTCTAAAGTCATCAGCATTTTCTGCACCGATGTCTATCTGTAAATAATTCTTATACGCTTCAAAGAAAGCATAAGACTCAAAAAGGGTATCCCAATCAGCCTTATTTGCTTCCATAGCCTGCAGGAACTACCAAACATCAAACTCAGGAACAGAGAGAGAGAGAGTGTGTGTGTGTTTGACAATGGGACAATATTCCCATTTTGCAGATTTTGTTTTTAAGGGATACAACTCCCCCACTAAACTCGTTTACAGATATCATTGACACAGACCAACATCTAGCCCAATAG